GTAGAAGAAAAGAGTCAAATATTACGTGAATTTTAACTTTATTTACTATAAAACAGGTTGAAAAATTATTTATCATTCCCGTTTTCATGTCTGCTTTGGGAACAAGGAGTGTTGGTCTGCTGCATCCTTTAAGTTGGATATCTTTATCATCTCCTTTCTACTCTCTGTATTCATCCCGTTTGTAGTACAGTGTTTCTCATTGTGGGACCCTGAGGACATTATTGCATTGATATGCCGTTAAAACCTAGCATTACTTAATTCGCCTTGACAGTAAGTAACACCTATATATATACACATTTAAAAAAAAGGAAACCGTTTCTTCAAGTTGTGCGGGTTGTACTCTTGACAAAGTATTGATATAAATAGCCTCTTTCTGCTTGTACATTGTAAAACGAAACAAACAACTAAGCAGTGTGCGTGACTTGATTAATGAAGAGTGTATATAGTATTTGATGAATTGACTACATTCCTTTCGAATCCATCAACTTTGAAATGGCATCAGACACGCAAAATTTCCATGAATATTATACAACATTAATGTTATTTAAAACATCTCTACTTCGTTTGAAATTAAGAATCAACTCCTTTGTACAGAAAGTTACTCAATGTGTGAAAAGATTTAAAGATCTCGTAATAATAATGTATTGTTTATTGTCTCACATGCATCATTTATAGGTGCGCCAATAGACAGGGAAGTCATATACTGCAGTTCAGAATACCGCTCTATCAACCCTTCATCGGTATGATGATCAATTAAGTCAAATTGTTTGTTTGTTTTTCAACATACATAACGGTGAAGAAATTGAAGTATATATAGTGACAATATCATAGGATAAGCAATTAAAATACCTAGACATGCAAATGTTTTCAATTTGAAGAATTTTTGAAAATATCACTGATTCAAACATGACCATAATGTACCCCGAAGCTGACATGGTTCCACTTATAGTTGCTATGCCATTAGCAGCACAAACTGGTATATTATTTCACATGCAAACATGACTAAATATCAGTTAAGTGTCACAAATCACAAAATATTACGACTGAATTACGGTAACACAACAGACGAATTCGCACTTACAGTCATGGTTTCTGATCCGCTCCATGCATACAGAGCAGCGAGCTAATTGACGTGTACACAGTAACGGAATTTCTGTATATGTTTATCAATGTTTGTGAATCTGGTGTTCGATGGACCCTTTGTAATGCGCCTTACAGTGATGGCAACAACTCGTTCACCCGTTGTCAGTATAATGTGACCGGGCGGAATGCTGCTTGTTGCCTTCGGTATGACATTTCAGTGAGATCGCGCTATCACAAGGAGGCAAGCACAGCAACATACTCCGTCTCCTGCATACACACACGCAAGCACGCATACTCTTCACACATGGAGGCACGACCTTAAATGACCTTAGCTGTTAATAGGACGTTTAACAAACCAAACCAAATGTAGGGCACTATACATGTATAACTATTGTATATTATTATGCTTGATTTATCGACCGATTGATTGATTTCATTATATCTTAACGGTACATAAAAACAAAAGGCCAAGGAAACTAATGGTCAAACTTTTTTCACTGGGTAATAGACGGTTACTATCAGGAGACACCGATCGACGTAAGTAATGGAACAATGAGGAAAATAGTTTTTTTCATTTAATCACAAATTAACTTTAGAGTTCGTGACACATGTTATATAAAATGCTTTATGCAATATGGGATATGTATGATGAAGTATGAGATAGCCTGTAGATAATAGAGTTGAGGTTTGTTCAGAGTGAAGTGACCTGTGAGTTCTTTCTATAATCGAGGGCAAGATCATTCTAACAACGCCAACAAAAAAACGCAATCAAGCTTGCGCTCTATACATTTAAAATATAATAAAATAAAACCCAATAAATGCATACGTTACCTGCATAGTATTAGTACCAATGTTACAAAGACGGTAATAGTTTCAAATAAATGTTAAGAACGATGATAACAAAGTAGTAGTATTTATATTAAGTTAATTATTCTCCTAGGTTATAAATGAAACTATAACAGCAATTGTTGAGAAATGAGCGTAAACCGTGCCGCTAATCTAATTGCTATTTATTACAAATAATTCCTTGAAATTAATTATTAATATAAAGGTATATTCCCTGAAGACGTCATTAGCTCAACTCTTAATTCTGCTGGTGTACATGTATTTACTTTGAAAGCAATATCCTTGTATTATAGAAAGGAAAGTTTACGAGTTTTAAGGTACAACACTGCCGGGAACCGTCGCAGCATGTAAACAACCATGCATCTAATACAACGTGACACGGTAATTTTCTCATTTCTCAGGATTTCGGCTTGTATTGTCGAACTTGTCCGAAGTGAGAGCGGAACCAGACGGCGGGAGCACTCTACTTCTTAACGTCATTTCACACCCCTCCTCGTCAATTGTGTTGTAGCCATCGGCTAGTTAAAGACTATCTTGTGCAGACTCCTTTTTCATCTAATGACCTACTGTGGGGAGAGCAAGATACATGCGCCACCATGTAATGATCGATTAGGAAGATACGTAATACTTTTACGGGTTTTAACGCCACGTCGCGTTACTTCTGGTCAGGTGTACTGTTCTTTAGGGTTTTGTCTGACGTGTCTTCACCTGCCGTTCCCATCATGATATCTAGCCATTGTTCCAAGTCCATGTATCTGTTTGCTGGATGTGTAGGCGTGTTAAATAAATGTACTCCTTAACGTGATCTTGACCATCGTCTGATCTTGTCACTTTGACCACGGACTTGGTAGCTAATTCCGTGCTTGGACAAACTTTTCACTTTGACCACGGACTTGGATAGCTAATTCCGTGCTTGGACACATTTTTCACTTTGACCACGGACTTAAGATAGCTAAATCCGTGCTTGGACAAACTTGTCACTTAGAATGTTGCTCCTTTATGCGACTTCAGAATGATAAGATTTTACCTGATGTATCTAGGGTATCTGATGTGACCACATACCATTTCTGAGGTGCATTACAGAAGATGAGTCTTACTTTTTATAGCTCCGTATCAGTTTCTACGGATAGTTTTACATCTATTTGGTAGCGTATGGTCAGTTAACAGTCCAATTTTGTTTTAACAAGCCATTCGGATTGATATGTCTCGCCTATGCCCCGCTTTGACCATCAATACACATATCAAAGAAACTAACTTAAATGCAAAAAAATAATGTTGATGGAGATGCTGACAAAGTCATGATCAATGGACCATGAAAGGTTGACCGCATCCAGCATTTGATGCATGAGTTGAGATGTGCAATGTACTACCTAAGATGCATCTATGCATGGTCAAAGTTTGGTTGGTGTAGCACTTATATACTTTCAGAGAAACTAAATTAAATATAACTTAATTTGAATGTGACGGAGATGTTGACAAGGTCAACGGACCATGAAGATAGGTCGCATCCAGCATTTGATGCATGGGTTGAGATGTACTTCCTAAGATGCAGCAATGGTCCAGGTTTGGTTGGTGTAGCACTTGTACTTTCAGAAAAACTAACTTAAACACAAACACTCAATGTTGGCGCCGCCGTCGCCGGAAAAGCAACACCTATATGTATCGCTTCCACTTCGTGGCGGCGAGACAAAAATGTACTTTGGCTGAATTTTAAGCAAGTTAATTCATTGAATTCGCTGCAAAACCTTATTCTTTATATTGTTCCGTGCTTAAAGACTTTCAGTACTGTAAATTTTATTTCGCATTTCGAGTATTCTCCTTTTATCGAATGCTTTTAATTTGGTAGAACACAAAATATATCATCCCTGTCCGTTTACTTTCACCACGGACTTGGACAACTAATCTAATTCCGTGCTTTCACTGAAGATTTTATGAATGTCATTATTCAATTTTGTCTGCATATTTCACAGCTACCCTGAGAATAGGCTTTATATATTAACTAAAACATAACCAATCATCCTAGTAAGCTTAACATGAAAATGACATTGACTCATTCACTCCTACAGACTCATTTGAACTCCTCCAATTAAAAGGTTGTAATGGTTCATTATGAAATTTCAGGGGTGAATGAGTGGTTATCTGACATGCTATACAAAATGTAGAAGAAAATCTCCGGACAAAAAATCAAATGCTGAAATGAACAAAGGGCAATAACTTTTTCAAAAATCGTCGAATCAAAATTCTTTTAGGGGAGACACAATAACATATCATGATTATAATAATGTATACCAAGTTTCAAAGAGATCCGTTGAAAAATGTAGGAAGAGATTGCCGGACAAAAATCAAATACTGAAATAAACAAAGGGCAATAACTTTTGCAAAAATTGTTGAATCAAAATTCTTTTCAAGTTTAGCCTACTAAATATAAGTGTCAAAGAAATCCGTCAAAGAATGTAGGAGATCTCCGGACAAAAAAAATCAAATACTGAAATGAACAAAGGGCAATAACTTGCAAAACTTGTCGAATCAAAATTCTTTTAAGGGAGACACAACTTCATATCATGATTACAATGTACACGAAGTTTCAAAGAGATCGGTCGAAAAATGTAGGAGGAGATTGCCGGACAAACAAAAGTTTACACCGGCCGACCCCATACCATAATACTTCCGTCAAATTGGACGAGCGTATAAAAATGACTGCATTATTTTTTCATAAGTTTGTGTTATAGGGCTAGGTAGGTAGGGACTGGCCCAACCACCTGTCCTGGGACACCCCACACATATATCATTTAATCTTTTAGTGCAGTAAAACAAGCCTGTATATATTGTTATATTAACACCAACCTTTCTTACATGTATATCACTTAAGTGCATTTTATTTAGCTCACATCCATATGCATGTAGTCCTGGTATGTTTATTTACACGCTATGTTTTTGTTCGTTTTAAATTAGGCCTATGCTTGTCGCAGAAATAGCTCTACCAAGCTAGTGTTTGTATACTTATGGTATGCGACATTAAATAAATATTCTTATATCTTGTAGTGTCTGTAAGAAATAAGAAACACGTTAGCTCTTAACAAGTGTTGTACTTTAATCAAGACAAACTGTGAATGCAGGCGACAACACATACTAATAATTTGTTTTTTTTTCTCGATTCCATAAAATATATATATATCCATTCATACATAATTTATAGTGATACAAAGAATCACACAGTAAGTTATAAACAATTGACAAATGTTTAAATTTTTGTGACATGTACATAGACTGACACGTATATAATTGGACGGCATACCTTGTTCAGCTGATACTGGGGGAGAGGCTTTTTGGAATGTAGCGTAGGAACTATAGCTAGATTGGGCGAGTTGTTACTGACACATACTGCAGGTCTCACATTCCCATATCATCTTGTTTTTTTTTATAATATCTTCACTTTTGACCTATATTACACTGAAATATTTAACTAATGGATTTTTTGGTCCTGACTTCTCACATAATATTACTATAATAATCCATTCACACAATTTCATAATTATTCGCTATTTTTTCACCATAAATTCTGACACTTCTAATCTAGGAAACACTCAAATTCTAATCTATTTTACATCTTCTTTTCTAATTCAAAATCGTATCACTCAAAAGCCAATCAATAATTCACCTGTACAAGAAATGAAATTACAAAAAAAAACTTAATGATAATTTTGATACAGGTCTTTGTTCAATGCGTTTCCTTTTTGAAATGATATTTAGATATCGATAGATTTCACTCCCACCAATTGAAAAATGGAAATATAAATATTATTAAGTAAATTAGTAATGACTGGTGCAATGACAAACTAGATGTGTGCTGATATACTAGGAACTTTTATATATGTATGTATGTGTGTCACAACTCACAACCGGGAATGATTTTAACATTTATACTGTAGTACAAAAATAGGGTGCTATAGCACATGCTAAGAAAGGAAATATCACGATAAATACAAGTGTACTACACAGTGTTATAATCGGTGGTAAAGTTCTTATATTTGTGACAAAAATATACCAAATTACTACAGCATAGTATTAGTATAAAGTCAAAATTACAAAAGAAATATTCTTAAAAACTTTAAATAAATATATCTAATAAATTGCAATTATGTCTCCAATGATCTTGGCCCTATGAGTATCAGCTGAACGCACTTCTTTTCACCAGAGTGTAAATAAAACAAAAACATCCTGTCATGATCAAGGTAATTCAAAACAAACCATTAAATATGTAAGCAATAAGCCAATCACTAGGACTAACGGTCGGGTATAACGTGTTTTACCTCTAGCTTTAACCTCTATACCATTAACTGTAATTTAGTGTTTGATGATAAAATGTTTCAATTTTTCGACCCATATCATTTTATTTAAAATCTGGACTTTTCATGACAAGATGAATAAAATTCAAATTTTGTATCACTTTTTAGCATCCCTAAATAAAGCTAGAGGATGTCAACTCATTTTATAGATATTCCATTCTGTTCAATTCAGAAAAAATATTCCCCTCGCTGCAATTTAAGTAAGAAAAAGATTATGAAATAAAAAAGATTGAAATAAGAAAGATGTGCATGGAATTCTAACTTGACTATTGTGTTGTACATATTTAATATGTGTACAAAATACTGTATATCTTATACCATAAACCTCCTATAGTATGCATGCATATATCGATTTCAATATTATATAATACACAAACATGTAAAATGTATTGACAAAATCAAATACCCGGTATGGACACCATTCAACAGTGTTGATCAGCTTACAACCATTTTATCCTTCGTCTCACATACTATTAGATTCAGTTGGCAAAGCCAATAGGTTAAAAAAAACAATGTATAGGTACTCTCATCACAGAAAACCAATGTGTTGGAAATCTTTGGTCAAAAATGGAATTCCTAATGTTAGGCATTACATTATGTAGTACTTTCTGTACCTGTTAATGGCTTCTACAGCTTCCAAAGGGACAGCCACATAAGGGACAAATATACTCTTAACATCAGTTCTCCTAAAATACACAACTTTATATTTGTTATCATACCATGTACATACACAGTTAAACAGACATGTGTTCCAAAAGTGAACTTTCTTCATGTGCACACTATCTCAATTGTGTGGATCAATGTTATTTCATTTAACCCTTTCACCCCTAGGTAACTTTAGTAGACTCTTCCATACATTTATCTGGGTGCGACGATTATGGTCTACAGTGGTGAAAGGGTTAAGGGGCATCTCATCAAAGATTTTACCGTATGTCCATTTTATTACAATTGCTGGTGAATGGTTATTGATATCAAATAATAAATTAAAACAAATTATTAGCACTTTACATTTCTGATCAAAATTATATCAAAAGCTTGATATGCATTTGTGAAGATCATAAAATACAAACAACTATAATTATGACAAGTCAATGAAAGTGTGGTCAGGGAAATCAATGCAGTCTACAAACATTTGTACATACACAACTTAACATTTGTAACGTACACAGTGGTAGGCACAAAATTATATACAAACATACAATAAAATTATCACATTTTACAATATTGCATTTCCGGAAAAAAACCACACTAAAAAATTGTATAAGTTTTGCAAATTTATATCTGGTCTTGAAGTAAAACTTCAACTTGTTACAATATAAAGATGATTTCCTCTCATTTCAAAATCAACAAAACAGGGGAGAAGTGGGTCATCGTCAACGCATAATTAAACCTTATGCTTGCAGTTATCACCTAGCTGGTCACAAAACAATGATTGGACCATATGTCAATGCTATCTTAAGGGGTATCTTCTCATCTCCCCATCCCCACATGCAATATCTACAAACAATTAAAATATTTAATTGAAATCATGTGACATGGACAACCAATCAAATGACATGAAATAATGATTCAAAGAGCATCCTACATTTGTAGTAGCCTATCTTACAACCAAGCAGCAACCAACTATCAAACAAAATGCACTCTTGCCCATCGGTCATAAATAGATATTAAACCAAGCTCCATTCTCACAGTTGTGTTATATTATGAAACATTGGGTTTACCTCTGAGAATTTACCCTATTATTAAACAAAAGAAGGCATTCTTTAATTATGGATGAAAAACCTTCCTTATTTACAAGGTACAGCAGAAATGTGTCTTCACAACAGCATCGGTTTCATTTTACTTGTGAAAACTTACTTGAAATTTGCTTTGATATTTTTGGGAAAATACACCCTTTTTTTCTTTATAATATTTACTTCTTTGATGTTAGCAGTATCATATATAAACACAAACTGCCCCTGGTCATATATCAAAACCAAAGTCAACAATCTATCATTGGTTATTGTACAATATAAATTAACACTCTCATTATGTGGACATCACAGATAATATGACTATCGGTCCTACAGAACAAAATATGTTACAGATGGATGACCTATGACCTAGCTACAGATATCACCTCCACATCTTCATATGACTGATTTAATGCCTTTAAGTTCCATTCAAAGCCACTCAGTATATACACACATACATGTTTGACTGCTATCAGACTCCTCTCACTAAAAATAGCAAATTGGTCATCATCACCTTCATAAAATCAACCTACATCAATAGCATAAGACAGCAGAACACAGACAGAAAGTGGGACGAGAATTCTGGCTCACAAAAACATCATTTAGTTTAAAACCTGTTGGCAGGATTGTGCAGGGTTCATGTGAAACGCTTAAAAAATCGTTGAATTAATGGGGATTGATTTTCAACACAGTTTAGATCACATTACACTGTATGAAAATAAAATGATAAATGTTACAGCACATCGGAAAAAAATCCACACTTAACAAGTCCGACTTGATACCATTTGTACTAGATCCTTCCTTAAACAGCCCCGACACTACATGTACCTATATCAACAGCAACAGTAAATGATGCCTAAAACCTGATGTCAACACACCTGGGACATTTTTCTTGTCTTTGTTCTACGATCTCACACAGAACAACAATCTGAATTCAGTACATTTGGCAAGTAATTTACTTTGCCTGCATGGTCCAACGGGAAGGTAAGTGAATTATGTACAGACATCTGTGTCCCTGGTTGGATGAATCTCTCTGTGTGAAACAAGTATAACACCATCTCCTAATTGGTAGCGTTTCTACGTCAAACTTTAAAGCACATCCAAGAAAACAATGTGATATGTTTCATATTATGAATAATTCAGGTACATGTTAACAATATATGAATATTGTGTAAAATCCGTCATATTAATTAAAAAGATTTCAAGTGATGATGATGATGGGATATTAAAATGGCTACATAGGCCAGTTAAAAATAGGTCTCCGTCTACAGACGCCAGAGAATCATGTCACACGGAAATGTCACAGATTTCCCACAATGACAACCAATCTACTTCGAAACCCATCAAACGACATGGTATAACAACAGGCACACCTTAACATCACACGAAACCTTACATCAACCCTTGACTCCCAAAATAAATCTTAATCTTTTTGCTGACACAAAATGAAAAGAATATTTCATCCTCTGCATACATTTCATTCAGGAAAATCTTTGGTGTTCATATCAAAATTAAAATTTCTGACTACAGCGATGAACTTTCTGGATTCATAAAACTATTCCTGCAATTAAAGTATTTCAGAGAACCAGATACCGTGTTTGTTTATACTGTAGTTGATGTAGTCATGAGTACCTGTATGTACAATTTTGTGACAGATTTGTCCATATATACCTGAATTATAAAGCTTTTCATATATAGACATGTTATAACGATCGTTCTCAAAGATGAAGTCATAATAGATCTAATGCTTACAAAACAAAACTAAATGTGTTATTTTCAGCAGGTGTCTTAACTGTATCTGTTAAAAAACAACAATAAAAATGTTCATCTGACCATTTTTTTTTTCTATTTGTTATATTCAACCTAAAAACCACCAAATGAGAAGTACAAAGATTGTATGTAAGGACTTAAGTGATCAGACTTCTGTCTACAAAAATGTATATTTCTATCTTTCATGTTAATGATGTCAAAAAAGTATTTAACTCATAACTAAAGCATATAAATCCTGATGCTGTGAATCTCCAGACACGATCATCTTCAAAACGGTATATATGCTTGTCAACTATAGGCAGTTGATTGATCTCCTGCCTCAGTATTACTTACGGTAACCGGAGAGAGAGAGATTTCCTACAGATTATCTCCCTTACATTGCTACTACTCTTCATTTCGTGTCAAAGGGCTGACCTTGTCAATTTAAATCTGGCATCACATGTAGTGATTTTGAGCTATGAGGGACTGTGATGAATTCAGTTAAATATCACATATTTGCAACTGAACAACATGTGGTTTTACAAGCTTGGTATCACTCGCATGCTAATTTACTGTCAAAACTGGACAGGGCTATGCCGAAGGCCTGTACTGCACACAGGGGGTAGTTAAAATCCAAAGTAAACACATCTTCTGCCACACGGCCAAACTGCATCACAATGTAGTCCACTGGAAAAGGACAGTCGAAATAGTTTTAGTTTTTAAGTGCGAAATGCAATAAGATTATAATAATAATAATAATTTGAGGTTCTTATATACCGCTTTATCACAATCTAGTTTGTAGATCGTCTCAAAGTGGTTCACAAATTATTATCTGTGGTTATAGGGCCTTTGTAACCAGCCAATATCTTTTTCAACTCCCTGGGGAGCATACAGCCGGTGCTGCCATTTCAGAGCTCATAGCTAGCATTCTACAACCACATACTCATTTACAGCTGAGTAGACTGGAACAAGCTGAGTAAATTTTCTTGCTCAAAGATACAACACAGTGCCATGACATGACTCGAACCTGCAACCCTTCGGTCACGAGCCCGGCGTCCTACCACTTGACTATATTGTGCCTCGTTATTATCATATACTTGTAAAAGATTATTTGAAAATATAAAGTCCAACAGAGTTTATGTTCTTCTTTTGTTTATGAGAACATAACTATGTATCACTGTAGGCAAAAACGTATTGATTACATAACCGGTTTAAAACATTTCTGTGAACTTACCATCATTGTCGTGGACAATTTGGAAATTTTTCACTGATGCTTGTGTTACCCGTCCATGAAAATTCAACACATAGGATTGTGTTTCTGAAATGAACAATTTGAACATAGAAAATATTGGAGAAGAATTTTTGGTCACACATCATACAAAAATTGGAAGCGTCACTAGAATCTCCAATCTGATTATACCAGTTTCAATTTTCAGAACCAGTGGAATGCATTCCTGTGCTGACCGGTGTAAGCATGCGTTGCACAAGATCAGCTCAGTGAAACCATACAGTGACCATAAATGCTCGGAAGTACAGCAAGAGATGTGCTTTTTATCTAATTTAATGTTATACTGAGATTTTATTCAGGTCAATTTTCAATATCGTAACATTTAAATGATGTCACAACCTGAGCTAAGAGAGGTAACTCTAACAAACATACCGTCATTCCTGAGCTAAGAGAAGTACAATGTAACTCTAACAAGCTTACTGTCATTCCTGAGCTAAGAGAGGTAACTCTAACAAGTTTACCGTCATTCCTGAGCTAAGAGAGGTAACTCTAACAAGCTTACCATCATTCCTGAGCTAAGAGAGGTAACTCTAACAAACTTACCGTCATTCCAAACAGGAGTTTTATTATGTAACTCGAGAATGTTCTCCATGTTCTTCCTCTTCCAGCGGTCTATCAGGCCATCATTATCCTAATGTACAAACAAAACAAGAGTTACCGACACATAAACAACATACTGCAGATATAAATCATCCCCAAACTTTGTGGTAACTCGACTCAGTGGTCTGATGAACGCTTTACATGTGAATTTGACCAAATCGGCTAGCAACGGAGGCCAATGAAGGTTGGCTTCCATTAACTCTCATAGGTTGTGCTAATACTGGGTAATATTAGTGGATGAACCCACAAAGTAGCAACGTTCCAATGAATATGTACAATAACAAAATTTAAGTGGCATCCACTGGGCTCTTCATTTAGATACCATAGTCAGAGTCAGTTAGGATAACTTTTAACTTGTTTAAGTTTGGTTTGGCTACTTTTTCTCTGAATTCCATTTAACAAATATTTTTTATCTTTGAGAAAGGTGTATAGGTATGACGCATCTGAAGTTTTACCCAACTCATATCCAAAACCATAGAAGTGTAATGTTGATCTCCTTGTTATCTGTAATGCCAGGAGTAGTTACTGTGTTTTTACCAGTTGAACATTTTGACTGTCAAATAATATTTAGCATTTTATGTTGTGACAGTTATATCTATAAAGTATCAGGGTTTTCAAATAAATATTCTAGCAATAAACTGAATGAAATAAAATCAGTTTTCATTTAATCTTAATCTGTAAAAGTTTCTACAGTACACAAAGCACCAAGTATGTGATCAATAGATGTCTGTTTGACAATTGCAATGACCTCATAAGCAAGCATACAACTTAAGAAATCTATTAGGGTAATTTGGGAAATGGATCCTAGGTCCAAATTTGGAGAAATCATTCAAAGCAAAACTTGAAAGACGTGTAACTTTCAAATATTTGTGAAATTTTCTTCGTGACATGTATGAATTTAAAAAAAAATCTAAATTGCAATACAGTACTTTGTTATTATGAAAGACCGCAATTTTCAAACGTTGAATATTTTTTTTTTATTAATTCATGTTGAAAAGGGGATTTATTTTCTATTGGAAATGAATTTATTCCACAGCCTGGTTCAAAATCCCTGACAAGTTTTTAATTAGATCTTGATTATTTTTTCTATACTATATTGCTCTGAACAAACTGAAGACAGAAAGATATTAACTAAAGACAGCCATTATAAGTGTTAATTATGGACAGCCATTGTAAGTGTTAGTTATGGACAGCCATTATAAGACAGTGTGAGCTTGACTTACTGATCGCGGTTTAATGTCCACTCTCTCGTGGTCAAGGTTCATCCCCGGGATAATAATGGTCATCTTTCTTGGGCCCTTAAATCCCAGCACATTTGTTTCCTGAAATGAAATTTTCAAATCTGGTTTATAGCATGAAATTCACTTATTAACTCTTTTTACCTTCCAAAATCATTTTATACTAATTGTTTTACAGTAAGTCTTATTGCAAGTGAGGAAATAATCGCACTGATGAAATTCTTCTAATTTCTCAGATTCTTTATCATTTCTAGATAGAATAATGTTTTCAAATTGTAAATCCCATACCAAATAACAGCCAAACTTTATTTAGTTTCTCATCTTTTAAGAATGTGAACAAAACATTCACCAGATTTCATGATTCTTACATCGTGTTAAAATTAAATTCTTGAGTGGTCCAAAAACAACACATTTTTAACTGAATACAAAAACATTTCTCAATTAACCACTGCTAACAGAAAATAGTCCAAGTATATTTTGTTCCACACATGATAATTATTGAGGTTGCACGCTTATTTTTTAACAAGACATTACACTGATCCAAGTTTTTCTTCCTGTGATGAGTCGGCAAGTAAAATAAAATGAGGCAATAATTGCGGGACTCAAGGAGTCCATGGCAGACCTTTATCCCATTGGACCCTCCTATACTTACATAGACAACTCCAATTAGTTCCTTCCTTGCATTTTCATAGTTTTGTTTTGGGTTGTCTCCGTTGTCGAACAGGGTGAAGTGTGTTCCCAGTAAGTTGGACCGCAGTTTTCCTACGTAGGCCTCACCTCCGCGCGACAAGTCTGTGGGGTCGGTAGATATCAGGTAGTTAGATGTCTTACTCTTCTTCCGTTTTCTTCCAGCTAATAAAAATATCTGAAAGCAAAGTCACAACCCACGATTAAAATTCATTAGGAAAACATATATTTGTCAAAATTAGATTTCATGAAACAATCTTATGACTAAACTTTTTCACCACCTTGAAAAGTACAACACCAAAACGTTGTCACCAGTAACTAAATATTAGTGTACGACCCCAAACACACTGAATTATATATATAGCTAGTTATGTCTACAAACATTGGCAATAAAAGTTTCTGGGTTAGAATCTGTTATAGTAATACTTAACATGATATATGTTAATATATTTCTGGTTGTTGTTAAAAGATTCAGTTTTTACATTCTATATAAATACATAAGTCTTGATCACGTGAGAAACTATGTTTGTGAAAAAGGTACATCCTCTAGAAAATGGTTGTTATTATAGCTCAAAGTGTATCACTTGAATGATATCACATTTAGGCACAGTGCGATAGCTGACTTTCTGTATAGTAGGCTGAAATTATAAACTCAGGTAGACACAGTACAAAAAAATATGTGTAAGTTACAAACGCATATAAAATGAAATTTGCAGAAAAGCTTTAAAGCTGAAAATTGGGGGTGGGTGAGGAATGAAACTTACACCCATGAAAGGAATTATTAATTGTAACTTGAAATTCACGACCTTAATATCTAACCCACAGAGGTGAACAGCGCTAGCCCCACCCACCTTTTTGCCGTCCTCCCTCTCTACGTGTAGATAGTAGGTTGGGTAGATCCCGCGGTCCACACCCTTCTTGTCCCTTGTGATGCGACATTTGACGGTCTGACCCTGTGGGGCGGGTTTGAACACGAAGGCGTCGAGGTTCTCTGTGATGTCTGGCGTGAGAGTTCGACCCATGGCCCCTTGTAGCTCATCTCCATCATCACTTAAATCATTCTACAACAAATTCACCTCATATTATTTGGATGTAGATTAACAAGAATATATCATTTTAATTACTACTTTCTGCAGATATTTTTTAGATGTTAAAATCTATACAATACCATTATTCGTTTGTTCAATTTAACTTAGCTCTTTTCAGTTTCCTCATGAATATCTGAATTTTTTTTTTGCAATGAAATTCTTCACATGTTCATTAAGCTTGAAGAAAACATATTCAAGAAATTATGTTATTTTATTACATATTTGATAATAAATTTTCATCGATTCATTGCTTTCCATGCAAACATGTACATGCCTTTTGAAAGCTAGTTATTCGGATTGTGAAAAGTCTTTAGAATAACTTAAGTCTGCAATGAACTTTTCCCAGAGTATGACATTCTTTGATGCGTTATGTCTCTTACCCCGCCTGAATTATAATCCTCCTTTCCATTCCTCCCCGATTTCCCCTGTGCCACTTGTTGGGGTACAATTGGGGCACTGCTATCATCCACATCCTCCAAATCATCGTCCCCTAGATTTGGCCCCATTGACATGACATTTCCACCCCTGTCCCCGCCGCGGTCAGCTCGCTCCACTCGGTCTCCTGTACTTCGGTCGGCGGCCAGGGCTGCTTGCTGGGCATTTTTGTGTTTTTTCTCTTTCTTGTTCTTTGACTTCTTTGGAGTTACATTATCTAAAATACACAACATATTTCCAGTATTACTATTTTGTGGTAAGAGAAACCTTTATGATACATTGTACATTCACCTTCATGTCAACAAAAAGAGCAAATTAGATAAGGTTTTTTGAAATTATCAGAAATAAATCATGAAACAGAGGCTGTATTTAAACATCTATGTGTAATGATGAAATGCCATCTGACAAAAAAGGCACATACACAAATCACATCATAGTTCAAGTACTCATATGTCAATTACTTAGCTAACATACAAAATGTACCTTTGAAATGGCTAATTATTTCTACACTTTACAGGATACAGAACATTTATGATTAAACTTTTCATATTGTATTCTTTAAGGATCGAAACCTGAAAAATATCCACTCGAATAAATTATGCAATAAATGTAACTAATTCCACATTATTAAGGACAAAGATAACCTTGAAGTCACTGATTATGGCATTCTTTGATGAAGATTTAAACAAAGTATTTTCATTAAAAAACACTGTACAGACAGGAAAGACTTTTTTTCACAATACATGTACATAAATTAAAGAAATTTGAAATTTAAAATTGAAAGGTTATTTAAGTTATTTTAAAAAAGAATCAAAAAATATCATAATGGCAAACACTGATTAATAAAGGAAAACACAAGTTATAACACTCAATAGTTTCAAATGAAATATAATAAACATATAATAAATAAATAGTAACAATAAGAAAATTTAAAAAAATCTGTATGATAATTTTTGAGAAAGGATCAGTTTGTTAGTGAAAAATAAAAAAATAAAAAATGTCACTGTTGATTTGTACTTCACATAATATACATCAGAATAAAAGCTAAAAGCAAAAATATACAATCTGTATTTCTAGTAAATCAATACATTATTTTTTAACAATTTAAGCTACCTCAACAAAAACTGTTAATAGTGTGATTATTCTAGCCGTAATCTAGACGGTTAAGTGAACATCTAAACTGGAAATGTCTGTGCTGACATACCAATCTACTGCACTATAGAACTATAGCATGTTCTAATAGTTAGCATTGCTACCGACCTGCTGGACATGGTGTACTCTTTACACTAATATATATACAGGCTATAACTTATGTATCCCATCAACCTCAAATATATAAGAAAAGGTTAAGGATAACAATTGAATTTCTTTTCGATGAAAAGAAAACCAATGAAATTTTTAACAAATATACCATTATTAACCGTGATGAAATATCAACCCTATACCAACAGGGTTATATTGCTGGCTTAAGTTTACACCACAGTGTGTATATAGTTAAGGAAAAGTAAATACAGCTGTCATATTTGTAAATTAATAGGAAATGCCCAGCATGTCTTTTCCATCAGATTGACCCCAGCATATAATGATTAAGGATCATATACCTCAGGTATCCCAACTCTTTACATGTGTTTACACATATCAGTCACGTAAACGGATTCATTATTTACTGCCATATTAGTAATATGAACTTAAATGCTTTAATTTTCATTATTTGTTTTCTTAAATTTTTCTTAAATTTAAAAACCATTTACTCCAATGAAGAATTGAACTATAATTAAAATATTTCAAATAAGATTCATCAGTTTGGAAATATGTGATATCAAAGTTTTATTTTCTACACAAACAATGTACGTATTAAAAGTGTCGCAATGCTTCAAGACCGAGTGGTTATAAATTATAAATTGGAGAATCATACATAACTGCAGAACTGTAATAATTACAGGTGACAGGCTTAGTCAAGCAGTTATCCTTCTATTTTTATTTATCATTTATATCATACAATAATATTATGAACAAGAAATTTTCCAAAAACATTTCAAATTCATGACTTTTGTTTACATTTCTTGTCCCAGTTTAATGACCAGTGTGTATGTTTCATTCAGACTATTATTCAATGTTCGATCCCTCAAGATATCTATAACAGGTCTATTCAAAATTTATCCGAGAAATTTGTGTATTATCTGTTCCAGTATTTGATGTCAACGATAAGTCTTAATCAGGTGTATGAACACCAAGATAGCATACATACTTGTGATAATGATTCACCTTTAACCTGAGGAGACAATCATGCCTCCCACATCCCTCTATGTATAGAGTGTCCCCTGCTAACAAATGATCACCATGAAGCTAACTTTACTCAAGGTTCTCTGTTTATCACTGTGTGAAGTCTGACATTGACCTCAGAGCATCCTCCATGGCATTTGATTGACGTCAAACGTTTGCACATTCTTTAGATACTGCAGAGTATCTTTGGTGATCACAGCTAGGTGCTCAGGTTCTGGAATATATGTGATATATTATCGCACCCACTAGATATCTCACCCCCTTATACTAATAAATAAAGGTATATGATTTATAAGTATAAGTTGGTGCGATAACATATCACATATATGTATATTCGAGAACCCGAGCACCTGTGTTGGTGACCTGGGCCATGGGAATACACAATCTACGGGTAGTTTTTTAGTATCAGAGGTGAAGGTCACTCCCAGCCTAGCGACATGTTACTACACCCCACCAACCTAATAGGTTTGAGTTTTATAGGTCAAAATTTAATGCTACATAAAGGCAATGACACTGGGCCATTATGTATATCTACAGAAGAATTAATTAAAATTTATTCTGTTCCTTGAAAAGGAATCAAGTATGTACTTTTCAGAAATGATAAATATACTTCCAGAAATCAGTTATAATTTAGCAGTATCAAATCTTCTTGGAACACCTTATATGCCAGACCTCTTAATTAAAATATTTGCAATTTGATATGACAGAATATGTTGTTCAGTTCAAACCCTAAATGAAGGACTTTAAATGGTACATTACGATTTAAATTCACCAGACGAAATACAGATAGCTGTTAATGCGGTATTTTTAATGTAAAATAAATTCACACTTACATGGACCGTCTAACTGATCACTTGAGGAGAACTCGCTATGTTCGGAATCTCCGTATTCAAAAGCTTCATTAACCACGGCCCTGCCACTACTTCCCAACTCCAGGTGGCGATCTTTTGCTAGAGCCATTATTAGCCAACAACTAAATCACAGCTGCTTCATTCCAGCATCTTACACAGTATTAACTCAAATTGAACTGAAGGCAAATCCAATCATACAAACTCCATAGTCCTGGCAACCCTGTTGACTTCCAGATTAATCAAGCCTTTCACACATGTATGTTTGTAAATCTATATCCACGAATCCACTGTAAATCTAGAAAATCTTTTTGGCCTCAGTAACTCCTTAAAACAGTTCGCTAATTCCGAAGGTACAATTTTTAGATAGCCTGCACATGTGTGTGTGAAACTGCCTTGTTTATACTGCCTTATATCTCTATGTTTATCACAAGTTGACCTGGTACAGTGGGCGACACTTGGTGACCAAACCAGACGACGGGATCAGAAGAATTCCAATTTACCTGTTTTTTATTGTCCTACTCCTGTATCTGGTTAAATGGTCTGACCGTATTGAATTTACCAATAGGCAAAGACTTAAATGACAAAACACTGAACCATTTCTTTCTGCTAGACTAGTTGCCACCTGAATAAGTCAACTACAAACTTAAAAGCCACCCAGTGAGCGAGCGTCCAAGCCACAGGTATACTGACAGTAGACTATGTGTGACATTTCCTACCTGTTACAAAGTTGCACACCTGTAATTGTGTATGGTCAATTACTTAAACACAGTGGATTATTCTCTATTCACTGAGATTTAAGATACCACCTTGAGAGGAAATTTGAAAACAACTCCCTGAAATAATTTATGACAAGTAAACATATAAAGGTATTTGATTCATAAGTTGACATATGGAACATCTGGACAAACAAAGTCAAAGCCCTGTGAGGTTTCGCCCTAGCCTAGAATCACTTAAATGGTGGTGCCTTCAGAGATAATAACACAAACAACAGAGTATATAACTGCCTCACCTTTCTTGAATAATTAGGTCAAATTGAAAAAAGTCCTGCTAAATATATGCTATCATACATCAGAAAGCCTCTGAAGTTAAAACAACCTCACCAGTTATGAGCATCAGTTAAATTTCTACCATAGTCCCCTCCAGGGACGACTGCCCACGATTCAGTATAATCTCCCTCACCTTTAAAAAATATAGGTAAATCTTAACTGCAAGTAAAGTTACAGCAAGTATGAAATCCCAAAGTCAGTCTTTTAAGCTCCCTCCCAGAAACTCAGGCACGGAGCAAGGACACACAAATCCAGGTGTAGCTGTTTTAGTGAAAACATGGACACTCAGATCAGTCTTAAATGCATATATACCTGTAACTTTTATCTATACTCTTTACTCATTATCTGTGAAGAATTTCCATTGATATGTACACACTGTTTGCCTGTAAATGTCTTTATCTTCAAACAAATAATGACATTACCCTGTGTGTGGTTTTATCAGCGTAAGTGGTGTGACAGCTTGTGTAGTGTTATCTGTGGTACATTTATTGTATCAAGTTTATGTACAAATATTATAAACTATATAAACAGCTGTAGATTTGTTGCATAAAATCACAAAAAATGTCCACCTCATCTAGCATTTTTGTTGTTTTTCTATGAACAAGGTACATAAGGGCACTGAACGTGCCAGCATTAAATATATTTTTTTCACTGAACAGAACAGCAATCTTTCAGTGGTATCCTATTCTACTGTGTAATGTGCAGTAAGTACATCTATGTACACTCATGTCATAACTTTTTTGTTTCTTCTCATAATAACACCCATTGAGACTTTAGAATAAGGACAATTTGGAGGACATCATGACAAATTGCATATGGAAATGTTACTGACTTGACATTATGGTGACTGAAAAGGTGCATTTCTCAAATTCATGTAAACACTAACATTCCTATAATAATTAAAAGCATCTTAAAATCATTTTTCATTTTTTCATATTACATTTATGAAACTGCCAGTCTCAATAAAATGTAGATTTTTTAACCATGCTAGAGACCCATTTAAAAAAATCTCATATGAGATACAGTATGATCTTGCACACAAAGCAATTAAGCTATTATCCAAGTATGACTGTATCAGATGCTAGGATTTCTTTTTTCAGCCATCAGTTTTTTTTTCTTTCTTATTAGCTGCTAAAAAATAATCACTAATTCTACATTCATCAAAATTATATGCTTTATAAATATTTTTTTCCTTTTCTTGAGAGTGTCAGAGTATATGTCACACACAAAATATTATTCTACAGCGGCAAACTAACGTGTCAGTAATAAAAAGTTAGCGACACAAAACAGTAAGAGTTGTCTCCCTTCAATCAGCTGCTGGGCTTCTGAATAACAAGTCTCCAGCAAGCAAGAAATAAAATGGTAATAACCACAACAAAGATTAATTAAACTATAATCAATGAGACACAATATGCAATGCCAACCTAGCTGTTTGAAATACAATTACATATAGTAACTTCTGGTTTAAATCTTTTTTTTTCATGTCAACATTTAACATGACCAAAAGATAAAAACCAGTGTTTTGCATTCTTCAGTTTCATAAAATAGAATTGGTAAAAAGTATATTGAAATCAATAAACATTGTATTTTGATATAATTTTGTTATCATCAATTTAAAACTGATAAATCTATTGGCCAAATGGGTAGTGGAATGTAAATGACTGGCAGGCTGTGCAGAGAGTGTATAGCTTAAACTAGCAGTAGTAAAACTGTTATATGTTTGAGAAGGATTAAGACACACTCAGAGCAGAGTTAGGGATGGCTTACATGCAGTGCATAACCTGTTCCTAACGGACCACGCTTCCCTACCTTGAAGCATTGGAATATCTGGTGCCTCATCATCATCATTTTCTAGACCCTCAGCAATAACATTATCCTGAGATTTATTCTTTTTGGTGGTAAAATTGGGTATTTGTCCTGTGTTGGATAGAGTCCAATTAGCGGCGCTCTTGGAGTTCTTGGCCTTGTCCTTTTTCCTGTTGGGCTGCATTGGTTCTGGCATGGTGTTACCAGTGCTACCTATAGTACAATGTACAGGGAGACATGCAGGAGTACAGGTAACACAGCAGGACAGATCCTGACCCAGGGAGGAGATCAGGAGGCATCTTGACTTAAGGTGGAGGAATGGGTAAGATTCTTACTCATAAAGGGGATTTGAGGCATCCTGCCTCAGGGAGAAGGAGGAAAGTTATCTTGACACAGAGAGGAGGAAGGGTAGGTATCCTGACTAAGTCGGCAGGAGTACAAACCCTCCCAATATGACGGTAACGCCTGGAATACAGGGTTACCTATGAGCACATTCGAGAGGGAGAGGAGATACAGAGGTACATCAATAGAAGAAGGAGTTACATCAATACAACATGGGGTACAGAGGGGGTACATCAGCACAGGAGGGGTAAGGACAGGAAACTCAAGAAAGGAGATAATAGAGACGGGCTGGGGTACATCAATAATCAATATAAGAGGGGGTTACATCAATACATAATGGTGTACAGAGGGTGTGTGTGGGTGTGGGTGTGTGTGTGTGTGTATACATCAAAACTGAACACATTGGTGAGGGATATAACACATTATTACCCCTTTGAGAAAAATCTAGGAATTTGATTGGTTAAAAATTACAGTGTACCAAACCGCATTCGTAAATCTCAGGGGGTATATGGTCATGTCACGTGATTCTCAGCAGTAATACGGTGGAATCACATGATTTTACAAGGGGTATACGGGTCACATGTCTTTGTATCTTGCAGCCGGGAGAGACAACTCGCATTCGTCGTCTGCTTCGCTGTTTACAAAATGGCAAAACGTTTCGCTTCACATACTGATCAGGAGATACTCGCCAAAAGGGCTAACTATGTGCCACAAAACACACAAAAGTCGAACAGACGAGCAGCAAACATCCTGAGGACGTATTTAAAAGAAAAGAATCAGGAAGAACAGTTCGAGGAATTCGATAAAACGAAACTAAATAAGGTACTAGTATATATACTGTGCCACTTTTATCTTGACAACAGAGAAGTTGACAGGGAACTGTACAAAACCAATATAAAAGACTCAAAGGGGTAATAAATTCGTTACACAGATTTTTGGCAGGGTATACAGGATGGGATGACCCTACAGGATTTCGTATTTCCTTCGGCCTATCTGCCTCAGGAAATACGAAACCCTTTAGGGTCATACCATCCCGTATACCCTGCCAAAAATCTGTGTAACTAATATTGTCTCACTGGTTTGACCACACATTTGTCTACATAGTGTACAATCATTAACTCCACAGAAATATAGCAATAATAGTGTACTTATGTTTGTATGACAGTATTTTTATTTTTTTATTTTTTTAATTTATTTTACACAAAATCCTTTTCAAGTTCATAAACCGTCTTTCTTAAGTGTGTTTTATATGAAAATTAGTAACCTTAAATTCAAAAGAAATTTGACAATATTTGTGAATAATTTGAGTAACATGTTTCAAATTAAACAATTTTTCATGTTTGGTATTTGATAAGCAATACTTATTATAAAAAAAAATATGTAAATATATTCAAAATAACAGAAACAAAATATACCCTAGTTAATAATGTATCAGATGACTTATTGGGAAATGTCAATTTAACATTTATTTCATCATGGATCAAGCTGAACAGTGAGAACACCATAGGACCAAACTTTGTGATCAGGATACACAGGTTTTCACATTATGGAGGTGCAAATTGTCAGTCCGGTTTTAATAAGGTTTGATATGCAACAGATAACACATTATATTCTGTTGTTATATTCCATTGTTATATTACATTGTTATATTCCATTGTTATATTACAGAAAACAATGGTCTAATTGCGACAATTCCACCCAACGCTAATTTGCCAAAATGAGTCCTGTGTAATATTGATGGGACAGGGGTTGTAGCCAAAGTGCTGGAGTTCAAGTACATTAAATATTTATCACCATCTTTGTGCAGACTGGTCGTTAATCAAGTAGCCATTGAGAACCTGGGAACATTCCAGTTAACACTGCCGATATCAATCAATTACGAATATTAACAGTATACCTCTAGACAGTATAGAACCACATTTTCTACTTGCTTTCAACGTAAGTATTATAGATTTACTGATGTCTTACTGAACATTTGTAAGTTCTTAAAAGAGCTAGCCAAATGAAACGATTAAAAAATAATCACAAATGCATTATTTCTACAAGTCGCGGCCAACAACTGAAGCGAAATATCTAAACATAAATCAGCTGGTTATAATATTTCAGCTGTTGTCACTTATGATCCATGAATAACATCAATATATTTCACAACAGTCATGATTGGAAAAAAAATGACATTTTCATTTTCCAGATGTGTCTGTCTTTTATAATGAAATCCAACAAAAGTATTGACAGATCTTTATGGTAAATGTCATGTGTTCCTAGGTTACAGATTGTGTTTTACGATGTTTGTCGCGGTTTAACATCAGACAGCAATAATACGCATTGTGTACACCCACACAACGTCTACAAGGCAGTTGCATGGTTATGGCTTTGTAATGACAGAAACACATACCTTGGGCAGGTCAACACTTCTCTTCATTACATTCCCCAGAACCAAAAACACATTCCAACCAACTCATTTCACATCTCAGTTGTCCGAAGACAACTACATGGAATTGTATGGTAATTACAAATGAAAATGCTCTCTCTTTTTTAGACAAAATAAAAAGGTGAAAAGTTTGAAAAGGAAGCAATTCATGTATTATTTGATTAAAAATCATTTTTTATTGCACATGGAAGGTTTATTGTGAAACTGGAAAGGAATATATGCATGTATGTTAGGAATCACAAGTTGCGTTAATGGTTTATACTGTAAATAAACTGTTATATACATTTTGAGTTGATATGTATGTTTTATCTTATCTATTCAATTCTGTCTATACTTGAAAAGGGAGATAACTTATGTTGAAGTTTAAGTTAAAGGTGTATCCAGCTCCCATATTTTGTATGCATATCTGTATGTGTGAAACTCATCATCTACATATTAAGAGCTATTCTGTCATATTAAACGTTTTCATCTTGTTTTAAGTACAAATGTGTGGATTCAGATGGAATGAAACAATGATGTCCCGAAAAATGCAGGATGAAATACCACTAACATTCAGTGAAGGATGATATATTCGCGAAACACATTGAGGGATAAAGTGTAGACAAATCTCATAACCGGGGAAACATGTTACACCACTCGGTGAGGAAATCATATCAACATTTCATCAAAAGGTGCCAAACATGCATGTAAATGACCAAACCGTGTCGTGGACATAGTGGGCGTACCTTCTAGAGGGGAGGCAATCTCTGGTATACTGTCGCTATCGTCACTGTGGCTGTCAGTTGTCACATTCAGTACGGTCATGGTCCGCTGGTCCTGAGGAGACAATCTGGCCATATCGTCTATGTCGTCGTTAGCTGCAGGGCCGAGGTATTCTGAAAATAAACATGCAGATATGAATATGAACAATAAATAAAAAAAACATTAAAAAACAATTTCTGAAAATTAAAACGCAGTTATAAATACATATGCATAGACAACAAATAAAAAATAAAAAATAATTTCTGAAAATAAACACGCAGTTATAAATATAAAAAATAAATGAATTGCCTGCTAAATCCCACTGAATGATAGGAAGAATAATGTAGGATCCTGTGCAGAGTCTAAGGTTTTCATCTGTATCCTATAATACGAGGGATCTGCTGCCCCATTGCAACACATACAAGGGTGAACTATCTCCTGAAATTTGTCATCTCTTGAGTTTATCTAATGAAATTTGTCATCGTTTAAGTTTATCTAATGAAAATCGTCATCCTTTAAAATTTGCCATCTTTTAAGTTTATCTAAAAAAATTGTCATCTTTTAAGTTTATCTAATGAAATTTGTCATCTTTAAAGTTTATCTAATAAAATTTGTCATTTTTTAAGTTTATCTAAAAAATTTGATCTTTTAAGTTTATCAAAAGAATTTGTCATCTTTTTAGTTTATCTAAAATAATTGTCATCTTTTAAGTTTATCTAAAGAATTTGTCATCTTTTAAGTTGATCTAATGAAATTTATCATCTTTTATGTTTTTCTGAAGAATTTGTCATCTTTTAAGTTTATCTTAAATGAAATTTGTTATCGTTTATCTTAGTTATGTGATAGAATCACACAAAGTGTTAAACTGAAACAAAAAAACCTTAAATGGTAACAGGATCACTGTATGGAAAGTAGTTTAACTTACCTGAAGATACTGATAATAATTCGTATCAAGTATACATTTCTAATGCAAACATTAATGCAAAGCTTTAGAATTCCCGAAACACAAATTATACTGTAAATTAAAGCCTTTATCTTGATTATACAACACGGCAAGTCAAAATCATGAACATTCCAAATAAAACTTAATTATTAGCTCTTTCCTATGTTAATTTAACGGTGGACATTTATTGATTTTCTTTTCACAACATTTGGTAGATTTAAAGCATATTTGTTATGGATGTTGGGTGTAAGGTACGGTACAATGTCAAGCTGACTGTATTACAATCTAGTTCTCGTTTCTGTGAGAATGTACTAAAGGTATTGAGTTAATTGTTACACGTTTCTGTTCATGTACATAGTTTCATTTGGATTATCTAAAGAAAATTTTGAATCATTTTTTTTCAAATTGATGCAAATTTTAAAATATATTTCAAAGATACAATAATAGGTTGAATTATATAGAAATAAAGTATGAATGAATACACAAGTTATTCTATAAGACTCTGTGACATATGAAGCTGAGGAGACTTCAGTGATAAGATTTTCTGTAAAGGTCAGACATAAGGGATGATACAACAGAACGGTATGATTCCTCTTAAATTGCAAGCTTGCTATCTCCGAGGAATTCAAATGCCAGCATACACTCAGTATAATCAATGTCTTTTCTCAACATAAGATGTCATTACGATTGTAGATTCCGAAAATGTCTGGAGAACAATTTTATTCACATGGCTTTATATAACCATATGTAAATAGTAAAACTCATTTAGCATGAAGTATAGCTCAGTCCAGGCAGAGCACCTGAGTTTCATGGTGTGACTGTAAATCGTAGTGAAAACATTTACAAGCAAAAGGGTACAGGAAGGAAATATCTGTCCACAATCTGAGCTCAGACCAGCTAGATTCTTATACAAAGATGTAATATTTATACACAAAATTGTTTACACTTTAATGCAAGAGCTAGCTGTCACACTATATCAGTTGTCTCCCCTGCTTTACAATGCATAGCCAGTATTTTCTCTCTCCTTGATAAAATTTAAATTTATATATGACTCAATAGAAGGACGAGTCGTTCATGAGATGGCTGCCAATCCTGATAACAGAGACCAGCTGATAATCTTAAGGTACTTACCAAAGTTTGTGGGTGTGGACGGTTTGGATGATTCTTTAACCAAAGGTCGTGTTTCCTCTCCGCGCCGGCGATGACCACCTGAATTTGGCCGACTATCAGTGTTGGGCTGGAGAAGGCCCATATTGTTTGTTGCCCTTTTTCTCCTGTTCTGTTCATCAATTCTCCTCCGCTAAAAAGGACAATCAGGAATATTTGTTAATTACTAAATGGATTCTAACAAACAATTACACAACTTTTATATTTCATGGATAATTGTTTCTAATGTTTGTCTAAAAAACCACCAGAATATGTGAACGTCTATGTTTGAAAATGTTTCCCATCGGATATAAATGATTAACAGACTGTCAAAAACAATGTTAATTGTCAAGAATAAAAAATTCTCTGGTGTTTTATACCCTAATTAACCAACCTTGCCACATGAAGAACGAATATTTTAGTTAAATAGCCTTCTCTTATCATAAAGAAAATATCATTCAGACTATAACACTGCTAGCTAGTCTTATTCAAACATCCTGCAATTCCACTTTTACCTTAGATATTTGAATTCTTTATGGTCACATAAAAACATATACTACAAAAACCACAACAAGACAATGCAATCAAGTGGGATTTATTATAAGGAACATATAAAAAAAGTTCCTTTGATGATATTTTTGACTGAATATAAATATAAAAATAATTTGAGGTTCTTGCATACCGCTTGATCACAACCTCATTCGTAGGTTGTCTCAAAGCGGTTCACAAATTATTATCTGTGGATAGGGCCTTTACAACCAGCCAATATCTTTCTCCACTCCCTGGGGAACATACAGCCAGTGCTGCCATTTCTGTGCTCACAGCTAGTGTTCTACAATTCTAGCACTGCCCAGCAACGTACTCATTTACAGCTGAGTAGACTGGAGCATGCAGAGTCAAGTATCTTGTTCAAAGATACAACACAGTGCCCTGCTGTGACTCGAACCTGCAACCTTTCGGTAACGAGCCTGGTACGTGTCCTACGACTAGGCTATCTTGCCTCCCTAATACATTAATAACATAAATATTAACATTACAGATTATTGGAAACCATGAAGGGAACCTTTACAAAGTGTCCTAGCCACAAACTTTACCTACAGATTGAGTATTATCAACACTCCACATATTTGCTATTTGTTATATAATAATCACACAGGAAATATAGGCCTGATCCTGATCTGGTACTCAGCACAGATATAGAACGAACTTTGACATTCAGATGCAAGATAAAGCTTCACAGCATGCAGATTTAAGATAAAATTATAAAGCACATCCCCGATCTGCTGGCATAAAATTTAGGAACATTTTAGAAGTGTTTTTTTAACAAGAAAAAGAAACTTTAATTTGTTACATATTTTGCATTGATTCCAATGTCAATCACTTTTCAAAAGAATCAAATTTCCACTGGAAATATTGTACAATTGTTAAAGTTGTATAAAGTTGATAATCAATTCTAATCTCATAACATATCATACTTCACTTCCATCCTATAAAACACATTAGTAAATATCTTACCTCCTTGTCTAACTTTTTCTGGTGTAAGGACATCGCCTGTTCATCTTGTATACTGCAATAAAAACATCACCGTTATAGAGTGTAATTGGTTGTGTAGCCCTGTCGCCACTAACAATCTACATATACCTGATTGCCTAATTTTTATGTATCCTTTTATGAAAACATTCTTGCAAAATACAGATCAAGAGCTTTTAATCTCTAAATAATTGTATTGTATATTTTCTCCCATATTCCTTCATCATGTTAGACTTTGTTCAATCCCTGTTCCAGTAGAACACATTCTGTACGCATGCAGTCTCAGAGCAGCAACAGTAAATTGAAATCAAGAATGTTGTCATATTTATACATTTCAATATTTCCATGTAACAGAACATGTGAATTCATATAATCAATATCTTTTCAATATTTTATGAACTACTAAAATAGAATTTTACACTAAAATGCAGACTCAGCCATATTAAGGACACATATATAGTCAACCCTACTTCCAGCTCACTGCTATTGGTGAAACAACTTCTAACTAAACACATACTTTACATCTGTTTGTGATCCCATTGTCCCGCTGGGTCAAAACAAATGTAATAATTTCATTATTTCTTTGGATTTCAACTCCAACATGGAGCAAAGCTATATTGGTAATTAAGTTTGAGTGCTTTTAGACGGCCTCAGATGATTTTATGCATTGGATAATGTTCTAAGCTAACAGTTGTAAAAATTCTAATACACAACAATACTGTATCATACTACAGAGTGTATATAATGCTGCACTTCATAATGTATGGTCAAAAGTATTACAGAATTTGTATCTTATTGAAAAAATCATGAAGCTTAAATTGAGTATATTATAATCTATACATACTGATGACAACTGATGGCGGATACATATAAATGTAAAATAGAATTGACAAAAATCCCTCTCAAATACCCCAGATGGACAAATAGAATCTGGGCGAGATAGAGCAATCTTAACCCTAGGGGGATTCTTAAGAATCTTTCCCTAAGTGTTGTGATTCCCGTTGAGATTCCCATATCTCACCCACAAGGGGGTGAATGATTCTTTTTCTCTTACCCTGTTCTCCCAGTGGGTATCTGATATACACAATGTAATGATAACGTTACATGCTAAATTCAGGGGTGACGTGACTTTGACGTGACGTTGATGTGACGTCATTGTGTTGTTGAAGTAACGTCATACCATTGTTATAAAAAGGGAATTCCCCCCCGTCTCAACCCTAGGGTGAGACAAGGAAATCTCACACCGGTAAAAGTGCGGAAACACATGTCCAGGGTAAGAGAAAATAATATCCCACTCCAATACCCAAGACTGACATCAATCCCTCTCAAATACCCAACACCAAAAATAATCCAACCCCAATACGTTAGACTGACACAAATCCCATCAAACTACCCCAGATTGACAATGAAATCCCACTCAAATATCCAAGATTGACAATTATCCCTCTCAAATATCCCAGACCGACAATCGTCCCATCCAAATACCAGTGACTGACAAAAATCCCACTCAAATATCCCAGACAGACAAAAGCCCCATTAAAATATCCCATATTGACAATAATATCCCACTCAACTACCCTTAAAATAGACCATATAATATCCCACTCAACTACCCTTAAAATGGACCATAATATCCCACTCAACTACCCTTAAAATGGACCATAATATCCCACTCAACTACCCTTAAAATGAACCATAATATCCCACTCAACTACCCTTAAAATGGACCATAATATCCCACTCAACTACCCTTAAAATGGACCATAATATCCCACTCAACTACTCTTAAAATGGACCATAATATCCCACTCAAATTCCCTTAACTGACAATATATATACAATTGCTCTACGTTACCCAAGACAGTCAACAATTGGCTCTTTCATTTACCTTAAATCACATACCCGGTGCAATACACTAGATGTATTAATATTTTATTATGGACTGTTGACAGCAAATGTAAAATTCAATTATCATTAATTGGTATGCAATATTGCATGCCTGTAAATGCATATTTCATATGTAATTGCATATTAAGTCTGATATGGTATTTATTGCTCCTTCTGGAAAAGTTTGGCCAAACAGCCAAATCTCCTCACAATTAATTCATTCACCTCTGAAGACGCATTTGAACTATTCCAATTCAAAGGATGGAACAGTTCATTATGAAACTTCAGGGGTGGATGAGTTAATTCAACTGTTGATTGATAGAGACCATCAGTGTTGTACTGGACTGCAACCTTGATTACTGAATAAACTGATCAATAAAAGTGCACTTACACTCTACAGCATAAGCGCAAGCTCTTGCACTTTAAGCTTTATTTATCAGGAGATGAATCACACAAATTTCATGTTTATTGTCAAGATTGAATTTCTAGGAATTCAAATGCAGATTTCATTAAATACAGGATTCTTTGACCTTGAACAATACATACTACCAATACTTCGTATTCCTTACAAATTTTGAATATTTGTGTGTCTGAGTATTCTGTGCAACTTTTTCAACTATACATATATTCCATACCCATTCAAATTGATAAAATCAACAACATCTTGTGCTTTTATGTGCGAATGCTTTCAATTAAAAATATATATACTTTTATAATGCATTTTCAAATTTGGTTAAAACCCATTACGTTCCCCACCTGTAGCATAATTAAATTTAAAGACAAATATTTTCAGTAAACCTCACAGATACCTCGTTGGTATCAAAACGAAGTATCTTAACTTGCTTGAACGTATGGGTGTTGATCAGCAACCTGCTGTGTTTACTTTCTATTGGCCCTATCAGACAGGAACTGTTTTTTACCCTGACTAATGTACATGTAACTTACCTTCCGGGTACCCCACTCATATTCCAGCTTTGCGGTTGGGAGTCAGACGGTCTACAAAATAAAAGAGTTATTTGTTACAAACGTAATTAAAATTGATCTATTGGCTGTATTTAAGAGTACAATTTTATGAAAAAAAAAAATCAGTTATTATTGACATACAATATTAAAATATGAATTCTACACATCCATGGTATAGTCAAACAATACCATAGACAGGATAAAACCATGTATTTCGAGTTTCAACAAGACTTTATATGTATTTTACTACATAAAACGGCATTACAAAGTTTAAAAACTCTACAAAACTCAATAAATTACGATCAGTTTCAATTTGTTTTAACATTCCAAACTGGAATTCCTCGAAATACCATTGACATTTAAACAATTCTGCTTTAACTACCCTGGGTCATCCTATTGTATGCTGAGTACAGAAAACATCAATTAACATGAATATGATGGAGTTACCTTTTTACTAGTATGATATATATATACCTATCCTTTATTTTCTTATTTCTTTTGAAACAATTACGTCACTAATAACACTGTTTTTGTAAATCATTTGATTCCTTACAAATTGATTAAGAATGAATCCGTATTTTGGCTGCATAGTACCAATGTAAGTATACCAGCTTAATCAATATCTGACTGCATGCTCAAAGACTCTGATCCCAGAACTAGGACATTGTTGTATCTTTTCATGAACAACCTTATTATGATCCGATCTGATCAAGTCATAATGAAGATTGTGACTGATACAAACAGTTTTTATAGCAATCTCTGATATATACATGTATATTCCAGTATTCATACAGCTTTGACAGTATTCAATTGATGTAAACAATAGGACCACTTCCTAATTACCTTCACTAATCCGATTATTACTAACGTATCATGTCCATGGATGGAGATTAGCGATATATGTTTAGGCTTTTAGTCTGATTAAAGCCTTTGTTCATTATGATATTGAAAACAAGTGTGTCACTGATTCATCAGGCAGTAATTGTTCCTGACAGAATGAAAGTAAAATCAGTGGGTGAGGTAAACAGTAATGACACACTATGGAAGTGACACACTGGACTTAACACAATGAGATTTTTACTGGAGACCAGGGCATGTGTGCCAAAAGTTCCTATTATACAAGATGTTACAAGTCCAACCTGTCTGATCAGCAACTCAAACATGTCGGGGGGAAAACCAACAAGAATACCACAGAGCGGAACAATATAGGCCTGCCCAATGCCAAACTGATAACATCAAATAAAGTTCAACAGAATGAGGTTATTTCCCCTTAACTTTAATTAAATTAATGATAAGTAGCTTTATATTTATTATTATTTATTGATTTCTTTTAAAATTAATTATAAAGGCTAGGATAATTGAGAATTAAAGTAGTGTTGTCAATAATATTTACATAACGTTAAAATCAATAAATGATTGTAAAATAGGGATTCAATACATTGAAAATAGAAAATAACAATCATTCCAATCAATACGCCTTTCATGACTGCCTTGTATTAAAACTGCCGCCAGTCATTCTCTCATTCTTTGGGTCACAAGCCCAGCGCTGTATACCACCACACTAAATATCCCATGATCAAACATGAATGAAGCCAAGCACTGCATGATTACCCATGATGCATCAACATTTTATTTCTTGTGTATGTTTGCGTCTTAAACTAAGGGAAAATAAAGCTTAATGCCTCCTCTATCTTGTTGGGACATAAAACTTACTGAAACAGTGGAAAATATAATTATGTCATATAAATATATGATAACTTTTTTAAAACAGTTTCTTGCAAATCTGTATGCAGTCTGGCATTTTGTTTTTGAAATATTTTTAACATGAATTTTCTTCTGATGTTTGGAAAACTAATTATGTCTTGAAAAAATGAACAACCCAGAAGCTTTAGGAAATTGTCTAAAATAATTCAAATTTTATGACATGGGGTATATAGCACTCCTATCTGAAGACCCTGGTGTGTGGTTAGGTCTACATGAACACAAGGCGTGTTAGACCTGAGTGAAGAATATATATATATATGTAGACCTAGATCACACCAGGTGTGTCTATCAACACATGCAATGCAGCACAGTGATATAGATCCAATCAATATACACAGGTAGAAATTCTGGTAGGTAAAGTGATTAGATCAATCAATATATACAGGTAGAAATTCTGGTAGCAGGGCTTTCTGCCCTACTCTGATGTATCAGACTTGACTCCAGAGGATGAGTAATGACACACCCCTTCACACAAACAGCTGGATTATGTAATGCTGATTTCATCATCAAAAATCGGTAAATCCTCTAACCCATGCCATAAATTTACAAGCGTGAAATTGAGAAACAGAATAGTTGAATTGATTTTAGTAAGTGCCATAACAAATTATGAATATCTGTTACAGGATCACAGATTATTAATTGCCACTTGACAAGCTGCAGGTTTCTAGGACACAATGAAATGTATCATTCAACAGCACACATTACCATATGGAGGTTATTAAAATTCCATAAAATAAACAAGTGTCCTAGCACTAAAACCTTTTACAATTTCATTTGTACTGCATCATTATAAATCACTCATATAAAGTTACCTTGAAAAGTGTATTTAAATCAAACTTACAGTGATGTTGCTTAAATATTTTATTTGTTGCAGAGGCCTTGGCCTTAATGTTACGTGTCATCAAACACTATTTATTACTGGTCTTTTAATCCGATATCTTTGCTAGTGCATTTTACTGATGAGTCTCTCAAAAATAGTCCAAACAGGGATTGGAATATTGCTAAAATCAAAAGGATTATATAGTGCTTTGAATACCAATGAACAGGTTAGAATTAAGGGTGGAGGGATCAGTGGGTAGGCCGGTACAAATATAGTGTCACACATGGGGTAGAAGGAACTAATTTTTAATTTAACAAATTTAACTTCTAGCCGTGACCTTGAAAGTGGATTATTTAATTGAACCAACTTTTCAAATATCTTTCACCAAGTAAAATTTCAGAAAATCATCGGAAGCAGAAGTGCTGATGTCCCCCCCCCCCCCCCCCCCCCCATTGTTTACAGTGACCATGACAGACCGACATTGTGGTTACTATAGGATACCAATTAATATCTCTCTGATATGCAGGACCCTAACTAGCTATATAGGGTTCACTGTACATGTGTTTTTCCATATTTTTTGTGATTGTTTTACAAAGATAAACTAGGACTGACAGGGCATATGAGGGCAACAAGCTATATCCGGCTGGTAACCCTGGCGTTATCATGCATCATCACAGGTCCGTGGAGGGGACAGTGGAGAGATTTACATGTTAAAATGGCTAGAGTGCTAGACAAATATTGACAATATGATAACGAATGGAACTGTACCATACGGTCATGCCATCTGATCTAAATGTTAAAACAAACAATTTGTAAATAAGGAGGGCTAACCCTATAAAACGGGTGTAAACCAGCCACATGTCTGCACGCCTGCAGATTGTACTAAACAAATCTTTGTTATAGGATTGTCACCTACAGTATTATTATTTAGTAGAAGTGTCCATGGAAACAAATGATTCATCCAACTTGGAGCCCTAAAACTGACAAGCTTAAACATATCAATGAATTTGTACTATGTCAACTTGGCAAACCTTCATGTGATAAATGTGTATAGTGTAACGGATGATCTCAAGTAAAAAAATTGTCAGATTGCAGCCTCAGTACTTCATCAAAGTTTGAATAAGGTTAACTGATACAAATTATAATATCATTAACTCATTCACCCCTGAAGACACATTTGAACTCTTCTAATTCAAAGGTTAGAATAGTTCCATTATGAAACTTCAAGGGTGAATGATCATGAGTTAATACATTAATAAATCGAAGGAGAATTAATAGTTGTACATAAATTCTGGATTGCCAACTAGGGTTTATAAAGGAGGCTGTTGGTGATCATCATCAAAACATGTGCCATTGTCAGGAACATTCAACAACTCATCAGAAGTGATGTAGATAGGTCGTTAATTAATTAAGCCATTTACACCTTTATGTCTTCCATATTGGTTTGGGACAATGTCATTTAAACATACTATATTATTGTAAGAACTGTAAGAAACCTTGGAAATGTTTACCAAAGGGGTACATTTGTAAAATTAAACTATCAAAAGCACTAAGTACAAGTACATAACATAATGTAAGAGCATTACATAGAACATCCATTACACCATAGAAAATTCAGGAAATTTCATCAAATCATTAGAGCAACAGGGTATTCAAGAACCACAAGAAGCTTAAGAAACATCTTATGATCTATAGTAAACTTTTCAATATATTGAAATGAATGTCTGAAAATTGTTAAAATATATATATCATTATTGCAGTTAATACTGTATTTTGATACAACCAACAAGAAAATTAGAAATGAATTCCTTTTACAAAGAAAAGATAGTTATTCAAAGTACTCAGCATGTCTGAAAACTGTTGATAAAACAATCATTCCAGCTGGCCAAGTTAATAATCAACTGATTACTGATGAGCCAGAACCACTGATGAATTCTGGTACAGTCATTGATTCTCAATTTACAATATTAACTGATGGGTCAATACAATGCTTGCCCACTGTCCATCCATGCCAATGCAATATCACCTGGACATAGAATAAATGCATGTGGGGGTTGATGATCTGTTAAGATAACCATCCCAGATCCTACAATAACATGTTGACTGAGCTATCAATACATGATCAATCCTCATCCTGTTTCACCAGGTCAATCTAGCAATAATCATACAGAACAATCTGTAATAACCAGCAGCTCCAGCTAAAGCCCTAGAGCTATACATTAATGTAGCATCATGTCTCTCTACTGGAGGACTCAGCTGCGACAACCTCATGGTCACTGGCTTCTGGTAACTTTGATCAGCAGTAGTGCTCTCCATGTCAAATCTGTACACAACTGTTACCAAGGTGTAATATGTGGTGTAACATATAGCTGAGGCTAAGGTTTCATACAGCTGATGCTAATGTTACAAGCAGCTGATGTTAATGTTACAAACAGCTGATACTAAAGGT